AGTTTTCAAATTCATTTTGTTATTCTAGTTGAGACAATTGATATTGAGAAATATCAATGACTAGTGATTGTTGATTCCTATTTTGTTGTTGCTGTGGTGGTTGTGGTGTGTGTTTGTGTATACACACGCACATGGACTTTTCTTAAAATTTGCAAGTCATACTTGCACAGGTGGGAGAGCATATGAGGTCTTAACTCCTAAGCCATCTTCCCCAGGCAAGAAATTGCTTTTTCTGATAAACTAAAACAATATTGTAAGAAAAGGGTGAAAGAGTTAAACATAGCAACATACATATAAACATAGCATGTCATCCTGAAGTTTTGCAGTTTCCCGACATTTCATATAATTTGAAAATAGGAACTCTGGGGAAATTTAATTTTAAATACCATGTCATTCATTTTCCTTCCTTGCAGCAACTCAGCCCTCACACTTTAAAGACCCAGGAGATGAGGCTAAGTGTACATTTCTCTGTACTTCACACCCAGATCCCCAATTCCATCTGGCCAAACTAACTGTGGTGTTTAAATGAGACTGACCTCCACAAGCTCACAGACTTGAATGCTTAGTCCTCAGTTGGAGGAGCTTCCAGAAAGGATTAGGAAGTATGGCCTTGTTGAAGAAGTATGTCGGTGATGGCGAGCTTTGAAGTTTCAAAAGCCTACCATTCTCCATTAGCTCTCTCTGCCTCCTACTTGAGAATAAGGATACAAGCACTCAGCTATTGCTTCAGCTCCATACCTGCTGCCTGCAGCCATGACACCTACCATGATGGACTCTAACTCTCTGGAATCATGAGCCCCAAATTAAATGCTTTCTCTTATAAGTTTCCTTGGTCATGAAAAAAAAAAAAAAGACTTATGATATAAGAGGGAGATAGAAAGACCTGGAGGAAACAGGAACTCCACAAAGAGAACAGAGCCAAAGTACCTGGACCCAGGGGAGCCTGCAGAGACTGTTACTCCAACCAAGGGCCATGCATAGAGAGGACCTAGACTCCCTATTCAAAGGAAGCCCACTGGCTGCTCAGTTTCCAAGTGGGTTGCCCTAGTAAAGGGTACAGGGGCTGTCTCTGACATGAACTCAGTGGCAGGCTCTTTGATTAACTTTCCCGGGGGATACAGCCTTGTTTGATTACAGAGGAAGATGATGCAACCATCTTTGAAGAGACCTGATAATCTATGGTCAGATAGAAGGGGAGGAGGTCCTCCCCTATCAGGGGGAGAAGAGGGAGAGTGGGTGAGACTGGGAGGAGATGAGGGAGGGGGCTGCAGCAAGGATACAAAGTGAATAAATTGTAATAAATAATTATATAAATAAAATTAAATTTAATAAAAAAAACCTAAGATAGTAATGAATATGAAAATGGGTTTGACTAAGCTGTCTGAAAAATTAGAACAGCAATTAGTCCCTGGGAGGGCAACAAGACTCTAGCCTACATAGTTTCCCAGCCTTCAAGTCTACCATGGTCTGAATGAACAACTAACTGTTTCAGAGTAGTGGATAAGGATATCTCTATCTATACAAATACAGAAGTGTTTATTTCTAACATATATAACAAGCAAGATCAAAATAGAAAAACCTGCTGAGCTCTGCCTAGAATTCAAAGGTTAGAGCATCAACACCAATATAAAGGTCTCATGACACTTCCTTCTGAACTGTCAACTTCTCACAAGCAGGACTCATCTGAGGAAAGCACCTCAGTGTGGGGTTGCCTAGATTAGATTGGTCTAGGGACAGTCCTATAAGAAACATTTCTTTTAATTGGTTAACTGAGGTGGGAAGACCCATCCTGAATGCAAATGGCACATTTCCTGTACTGGGCCCTGGACTGTGAGAACAAAGCGGGGTGCAGCTAACTGGGCAAGTAGGCATGCATGTTTGCATTCTCTCCCTGCTCAGCTAAGCACGTAACTAGCTGCTTCAAGTTCTGCCTTGACTTCCCCACAGTCATGACTACCCCCTGAAATTTACAAGGCAAACAAATCTTTCCTCTCCTAAGTGCTTTTTTGCCATCGCAGCAACTGAAATGAAACTAAGATACTACTAGCCTTCTGATGTGGGCACCATATCTAAACTGTTTTATATTTAAGGATACAGCATTATAAAAATAAGCTTTTAACCCCAGCTCACACTCTGGTGTTAGAACAAAGACTATAAAATGTTTCTTCTGTTCTCTCCTAGAATGGAAGACACCTCTTACTGCCAAGATAAAGAGACGGTAAGCAAATACTGTATGCCATTGCACTGCAGTCTCTAGGCCAACCTACATTATTTACCAGAAATTAAGTTTTGCTCACACAGCATGAAAATCACTCCAGGCCATCATTTCCATGCTCCCTCCCTGCAATGGCTATGTGGCCATCTGACTAGGAGGCCCAGACACTCAGTCAAACGTCATTCCTAGTGTTTATGCGAAGGCAGTTTTGAATAAAGTTAACATTTGACTCCGTTGGCTGAAAAGCAGCATATTACTCTCAAGCCCAAACAAAAAGGCTATTCTCTCTCAAGTGAGAGGGTGCTTTAATTCCTCCTACCCAAATGTCTAAGCTGGGAGGTCTGTCTGTCCTGCCTGTTGGGCTGGAACTAAACCAACTCCCCTTGGGTCTGCTGGCTTTCAGACTAGATATATATATTGCTGTTTTTCTTGTGTGCAGGCCTTTAGACTTGGACTACAACCACACTCGCTGCTCCCCTAGAGCTCACACCGGCTCACTGAAGATCCTGGGACTGCTTAGCCATCATCACTGCACAAGTCAATTTCTTTTCTTTTTCCCTTTCTTTTCTCTTTCTTTTTTCAGCTTTTAGGAACTTTATTTCCTTCCTCCTTTTTTCCCTTTGCTCAGGTGTCTGCAGAGGAGCTCAGGACCACTTATTGGTGGCCCCAGCCCACTCGGTGGCCTGTGCTGTGGGAACTGCTGACCAGTCCTCAGTGGCTGTCTGGGCACTCCTGTCGTCTTCAGGAGGGAGCTACTGGATGGGTACAGACTACACCTACACACCCTCAGACCAGTCTGCCACCTCTGGCTGAGCGACAGTGAACTCAGGAGGTGGAGTAGTCCATTCGTCCTGGAATTCTTCCTTGGTCACGGCCTTCTCAGCAGCAGCCTGCTCCTCCTTCTCAATCTCCTCTGGGTCTCCGTAGAAGTAAAGATCAGGCATAACCTCCCACGGGTGCTCACGGGAGATGGTGCCACGCATGCGGAGTATTCCCCAGGCCAGCATCCACAACAGACCCACTGAGTGAGCTCCCTTGTTGTTGCATGGGATGGCACTGTCCACACAGTGCAGAGGAGAATCTGTGTTGCGCAGAGTGCGGGTGGGCAGGCTGACATAGAGACCTCCGTGAGGGGCTGGTGGTCAGCCCTGGGATCAGTCAACACCAGAAGCCATGGCTTCCTGAAGGCTGCTTGGATCTGGTTAGTGAAGGTCCCAGGTGTGAAATGGCCAGCAATTGGAGTGGCCCCAGGGACAGCAGCAAACTTCAGCACAGCTCGCTGGACAGTGCTCCTGGAGGAGATGAAGCTGACATCGGCGGGGTCCTCAATGGCAACAACAGCCCGAGCTGCAAGCAACAGCTTCCCCCAACCTCTTCAGGTTTATGATGTATATACCATCACTCTTCCTTTTGTAGATGTATTGCTCCATCTGAAAGTCAAGGTTGGTGCCACCTAAGTGGGTTCCTGGGGAAAGGAATTTGAAGACATCCTCCTTCTTCATCTGCAGGACATCAAGGGCTCCCGACATTGTGTTTTCCTTTAAGTTATGATGAAAATCAAGAACAATGCCTTATGGATTTATCCCTGGGCAGCGAAGAAAAGCACCAATTTTTGGTTCTGTTTGTCTGAAGAACCGTAATTCCTTAGCATAAACTAACCTAAAAATCTGAGGTGCCTCCAATTATAGAACACTAAAAATTGAGTAGGACAAGTCTGGGAAACAGTAAAATGGCTTTATGTTCTCTTAGAGACCACAGAAAGTTGAAAGTAATGGAGTCTATGTGGTAACTGCAAGAGAGAGACAGATCCCAGCCTAGCCTAGATCCCTTATTTCTAGTTCTAGATCCCCAAATGTAACTGGAAACACAACTGTCTGCCTTGGCATCTCTGGACACAGTGAACAGATGAATACTTCTGAGCTATCAAAATCTTTCTGAGACAACTGATAATGTATTACTCAGAAACTACAATATGCTCCAACTTCAATACAGCTTCCTACAGGTGAGCAATCGAATAGTCTTAACATAATTCTCATTTCCCCTCATTCTTCTCCCAATCCAAAGTCATTGTGTATTTTCTGACTATATTTTATGGCCTAACCACAATAAAACAGATCACACACCCCCAAAGAAACACCCCCTACAAAGGCATAGCATGAGAGGATATAAGAAAACATTTTCATCTCCTCTAAGCAATTTAAATTATGTGTGTGCGCACGTACACGAACGCACACTTTGGGGTTGAGCATAGGTCGTTACACAAACCAGCCAAGTGCCCCACACTAAGCAATACACGCTGCCTCTTTTCTTTCATTTATTTTGAAATAGTCTCACTAAGAGGTCTAGGCTGGCTCTGAGCTCACTATGAAGCCCAGGCAAACCTTTAGATTGTTTTCCTCCTGCTTCAGCCTCCCAGATAGCTGGGATTGGAGGACCCATGCCACCAGGGCTGGTTTTTGAACCATACCTCTGACCACAAACTATAGGGGCAGGTTATTAGTTCAGTAGGCCACTCTCCCATTTTTCCTTTTCCTCCCCAGTTTCTTAATCCTCTAAAAAAGTATAAAATCCCCACACATTCACCCCAAATCAGAGTGTGAGTTATCAAAAAGCGGGGAAGGACTTCTAGCCAAGAAAGAGACACAGCAAGTTGTAGTGATCTTGTTCTGATTGTCCTAAACTGTGAAATGCTGATGCCATGCTACAAATAGACCTACCTGGTACACCAACAGCTGACAGATATCTCTGTCGTGTCCTTCTGAGATGCTGATGCTCAACAACAATCTCAACAATCTCCATTTATTCAGCTTTAAACACGTACAAAGCATATGTATGGGCATTGTTAGAACTTAAAGCGAGGTCTACCTTTCCCAGACTAAGTTGTTTTGGGCATGATTATTACATTAATCAGATTGATTCCAAGTACAGCTAGAACTGAACAGAACAGGAAAAGTTTCAGACATGAAAAATGAGCTTTACAAACTAAAATGAGACAACATAAAATTTTAATTCCTAAACAGTGAATTACCAAAACTCTGAACTAGAATAGAAGCAGTAATAAAATAATCCTATTTTTCTGAAGGAAATTATTGTAAGGTCCCTAGTATGAAAGACAGTAAACAGTGAGTTGATAGTCACTAAAAAACATTTCAGTAGTAAAGATTTCCAACCTCTGTCTTTCCATGACTATATACTACTCAACTTAATACCAAAAAGGAACCAAAATCAGATTTCTACCAACCCAAGACTAAGATATGCCATGTCAGTTTTTAGGGGAACTGCACTTCCTGAATTAAGAAAACCAAAGTATCCGATGACAGGCCACTTTCCCTTTCCACTGTAATTTTCCTTGATTTGCTCTCTGGAGATCAAGACAAAACAGTTTAGAGTCTCAGACTCCTGAATTATTCTTACCTTGCTAATGTGGTCAAGAGTAGGAACTCTTGTACAGTTAAGACAAAGAGACTTTCTATAACAGGAGCGCAGGGCTCTGGATCTTCTTATTTGCTGCGAGATCCACTAATGGTGGGGTAGAGATGGAAGGAGGTAGAGACACCCATTACAAGACAACAGGACAGCAGAACCCTAGCTAGACTTTAAGGAATTGATTCTACTCAGGCAGGAGCAAACTGACATAATTAAGTCTCACACTTAGAAAAGTATCACTCAATTCAGAAACAGGAGGCATTTGGTTGTAGACACAATTCCATCTGTAGGTCTTAACTTTAAATTTAGAGAAGAAATACACTCATTGCATTAATATTATGGGTTGGGATTTCTTACATGATTCCTAAATCCATCTACTATTTTGTTTGTTTGTTTAGTTTTGATACAATTTACAGCTATGATAACAAGACTAATTAATACAGGCAGCCCTGGTTCAGGTGAGGTCTTTAGTTTCAGAAAGTCCATCGGCCGTGTAGCTGGCTGTCGTTGCTAAACCTGTTGCTTGCAGAGGCCTCAGAGCTTTGGGTTTGCTGAGTAGAGTCCTCACCATTTAAGCTCTTCCTACATACTGGGCATGTGTCGTGCTGAAACAAAATGACATCAGTCCATGTAAACACTATGACCTGAGAAGCTAGGAATACCAAACACCCATGAAAGCCCCAAATCAAGCTGGGGAGATGGCTCAGTCAGTAAGATATTTGCAAACAAATGGAAGCAAGCATGTAAAGAGCCAGTGATAGGTGTTTGTAATCCTGTCACTGGGGAGGCAAACACACAGATCCCTGGCGTTTGTGACCAGCCAGTCTCATCTGACCTTCAAGTTCCAGGTCAGCCACCCAGAGACACTGTCTCACGAAAGCAAAGTGAGTAGTCCTTAGGGAGCAGCATCTAAGGCTGCTCTCTGGCCTCCTCATGCACACAGAAGCCTGCGTACCCACATGCCACTTAACCCAAACTTATGATTTAAGGGAACCTGCCTAGCGTTCACAAGACCCTAGTACCACCAGAACAGTAAAATAAATCATGACCTGACAACTAAAAAGGTACCATACCAGGATATCTCCTGGACAGAATTTTAAGCAGAGTGGACAGAATTCTAAGCCAAAAAGTTAATAAAAGCTAACTTATAATGGCAAGCAAAACTAACTGCCAATAGTGACCTGAACAAAGGTAACTATCAACCATTTCTTCGTGTAGTCTCGATGAGATTAAACAAACATTTTCTTTCAAGGGACAGAGAAGGGGCTGGAGAAAAGCTCAGCAGAGTGCAGTTCCCAGCACCCATGTGTTACAGTGGCTGTAACCCAAGGCCACCAGGGAATCCAATACCTCTTCTTGCCTCCAAGGGTACCTGTACTCATGTGTACAAACCCATTCCTACCACACACGATTAAAAATTTAAAATTAGGGCTGCAGAGATGGTTCAAGAGCACTGGCTGTTCTTCCAAAGGTCCTCATTTCAATTCCCAGCACCCACATGGTGGCTCACAACTGTCTATACTGGGATCTGATGTTCTCTTCTGGTATGTAGGTGTACATGCAGACAGAGCACTCATATACATTAAAGGGACAGTGAGTAAGTGTTCTAGGCTTTGCAGGTTATACCAACTGTGGTACAACTCTTCAACTCGGGCCAGTTAGCACAGGAACAGCCACAGTCTGCTAAATGTGCTTCAGAATTGCTGTATTTACCAAACCTGCTGGCACTCCACAGTGGTCTGTGTGCTACAGTTCACTTTCCTTTGGTTAGAAGCACTACAAAGGGTTAAAAAAACCAGCCAGGGAGGCTAACATCCGATCTGTTTGGCTCTCTGAACTGCAACTACATTCTTCCTCTGGACCAGCCTCACCCCAACAGGTAACTTGCCAGCTGCCTGCCACAGGTCATAGCTGGCTGTACTCACCAATTCTAACCATGGCACAATGCAGCTGCTGTGAAAGAAGTGGTTGCAGGGTAACTGCCGGACTTTCTCTTCAACTGTGTAATCTTCTTTGCATACTGGACATTCTAAACCCGTATCTATGGAAGGAAGATGTGTGCTTTAAAGCAACAAGCAAAAGAAAGAAGAAAAGCCAGGAGCTTGGCGTGTGGTACAGGCCTATATACGCCCTCAGCGCGAGGGAGGCAGAAGCATGGCAAGTCAAGGCCACCCTGGGCTATAAGTCTACCTCTTAAACAAACCAAACCAAACCAGATGTCTCTAACAACCCAAGAAATGCATTAATAAAAGGTGTCCCCCAGCCATAAACATCAAGGGGGGTGTGGAGAAGTTACATCTAAGTGGTAGACAGAGAAGAAGTATGAATTCTATTCAAAATGGAGACAAATGATAATGACATAGAAACAAATAGGGCCAATCCCAATAGACCTAAGAGAATCATATAATAGACCCAATTTTTAGTGTAACAGGTGAGAAGAGTTAGCAGAGAGTTGGCCCAGGGAGGTAGCTAAGAGAATGAAAAAGCTTGCCACCAAAACGGATGACCTGAGTCCAATCCCCGCCACCTACATGTGGAAGAATAAAACCAGCTCCCACACTGTATTCTCTGACCTCCACACAGGCATTGTGGTACATGTGCATACAGACACAAGATAAACACAATCTTCTAAATTAAAAAAAATAGGTAAGTTAAATAGGAAAAACGTCTTCCCGAATGTGTGACAGCCTCTTCCTAGAAAACAGTTTCTGCCTAGAAAATGGCGGCAACCTGTGTGCCATAACCCAGGGGCTCTCTCACACCCTTAGTGGTGTCTAGTCAGTGTCTTGACCACCTTTATCCTATTCTTTTCCTTACTGTGCCATTTTCAGCGTGGCTGTCCCAGGGTCCTCTGAAGCTGTTAATGATAAAGGCTGTACCAGGAGATGGCACAGAATCACAGAGGACAAGTGTACGCAGGACTCCAAACCAGTCAACAGAAGCCTTTTCCCCTGGAGGAAATGGCTACTGCAGTGACAGCTCTAAGTAGCAAATTCTGAATTGCAGAAATTTGGTCGAGAATATAATGAGCTGTGCTCCAGGCCCTAGCGATGGTCAAGGAGGAGGCATTTGGAGGGAGACCACCAGTTGGAAGATTCCTCCCTTCCTCTCCATCTCACACCTTCCTGCTAACTCCAGCCTCCCTTCTCATGTCAAGTCTACTACAGCAGCCTTCCAGGCAGCATTCTAATTTTAACCTAATCCAACCACACTCAAAACTTCACCACCAGCCAATTCCCCCAATACCAACTTCAAGACAAGCGCCAATCATCTCGTCCTGGACTCTCAGCTAGCACCTCAAAATAAATAAATTTGGAATTAAAACCCTCACAGCATCTCCTCATGGGGACCAGGGCCAGTTCATGATTCTCCATCACCTGATGGTGGCAGTGTCACCTTTATAAAGCTCTGGAACCTTATAATCCTCTTTAATAATCTTTTGTCTCTTTTTTTAAATTAAATTTTTATTTTTTATATTAATTAGTTTATTTACTTTGTATCCCAGTTGTAGCTCCTTCCCTCCTCTCCTCCCAATCCCACCCTCCCTCATCTCCTTTATCTTACTATATAATCAGTAATAAAACTAAAAATTTTCAACTAAAATTTTTCAAAGTTGAACTTTTTTCTTTCTTGCTCTTTCTTTCTTGCTTGTTCTTCCTTCCTTCCTTTCTTTCTTTCCTTCCATTTTTCTTAGTCTTTCACTATGTAGTTCTGGCTAGCCTAGAACTTACTACGTAGACTAAGCTGGCCTTGAACTCAGAGATCTGCCTGTCTCTGCCTCCCTAGTGCTAGGATTAAAGGTTTATTCCTCTACGATGATTCAAAATTACACTTCTAAATCTACCTTTTCCTTTCTGTCAGCATTGCACCATCACTTGAACCCCCAGAAATGCTGGTGTATTTCTAGTAGTCTCCCTAATTTTTTTCGGTTCTCTCTCCTTTTCACTTTATCTAGCACATTATTTTCAGAAGAACCACCCTAAAAACTCTTGCACCCCTCACTCCTTCAGAAGGGTGAAGCATGACTATGATATTTGTGTCAGATAGAAACTGCTCTTTTATTAGCTCTGGAATGATGTCTGATGTGTGCAGCAGAGTCTGACCAGATACGGTAGAGAGGAGATTTGTTCAGAAAACCTTCAAACTGCGGAAGTTTCATGAGGTTTTGGGTGGTAGAAAGTTTTCAAACAATTTCTCAATTTACCTGACTGGACCTTATGTGAAACAAACCCTATCCTCTTGTTTGTCCTCTTTTCCTCCCTATGGTATCATGTGCCCAACACTATTTTCAACAGCTTTTAAAATGACTTAGTGAGTTTCGTTAGTAAGTACTTTTACTGAATATAATTAATCGAGCTTTATAAAAATGACTATATCTCTTTATTTCCTATGGGACCTAGAAAGCAGGCATGCCAACTAGGCCCTCCATAGCTGGTAGCCAGACAAGAATGTTAGAGGACCATAGCTTTAGATTAGAAATGCATTAGGTGTTAGATTAGATGTTATAGGATGGCAGAACAAATGAAAAGAAGCTTACCAACTTGTTCCTGAGTTACTGTCACTGTTGGGAGAGAAGTGATCTTTTCCTTGTCAGCTGGAGGGGGACCTGTGTTTTCTAGCTGTCCTAGAAGCTGCAGAAAGACAACAGCAGCCACGATCATTATCTCAGTGACTAGAGAGGGAAGCATTCCAGCTGAGAACAAACAGTGCAGGCATTAAGAATGTTGGCTGCTCTTAACTGCTGCAGGACTCCTTCTGGTGCTGGAACACTCACAGCTGCTTTACAATGTCAGGGTGACACTTGAGACAGACTCCTAACAGAACGGCCCACCTTTGAGCATAAAGTAAATTTAAAATACTAAAAGAGTTGTGATGATTTGAACAAAATTCCAGGTTAATAAAAAGCAATAGCAAACTGGTTCAAAATTTCATTTAGTCAGAAGGAAGGGGTGGGAGTATGAAAGCAGTAAAAAGCCAAGAAATTGGGTATATTACTATCTACAAGAAAACTTATAAATAAACAACATGCTTTCTATTCTCTGTGGCCCACAGGGAAATGAAAACCTATCAGGTTAAAATGAGCATAAACAACTGAAGCAATTACACACAGCATGGGAAGATCTCGTCTCTGCTTCCTTCCTCTACTTTGCTCCATCTAGCAGCAATCCCTGCTTCAACAAGGGAGACCCTATTTTTTCATGAAGCATCCATCCCTCACAGGACTGGACAAGAGGACAAATTCCAATGAACTGTTTGTTACAGGAGAAGTTTTTACTTCCTCCAGAGTTAAAGTCATCCTCTAGAAACCCCAAATGCCTAGCAGGAGCATGGAAACTATGCTACACCCACAGCCCATCCATCACTTAGTAAAAACGGAAACTCAAAAGCTCACACTATTAGTGAAAGCAGAGGGACTGTCATTTCAGAAAGTAGCAGAAGGAATGCAGGAAGCCTGTGGAACCATGAGACACATCAAACAGACGCCCTCTCAAAAGGCAGCTCCTCACCTGGGTTACAATGGCATCAAGCCCTGTCTGACCCCAGGCATAGTCCCCAGGGTTGGAGTGCAGCATCCCGCTCCTATACATGAGATGAGACAGACAGGATTAGGTGGGGAGACCAGGCTCTGCCTTATACCACAGGGGGAATCTAGCAAAGGGATACTGCTCTCTCAGCTGAAAAGTCACTAGTCCTCTAAAGTTAGAGAGGCAAAGAAATTCTCTGTATTTGAAAGGTCGAAGATTATCTAGAGATATGCTTTTATTCTCAACAAATTTTAGCCTAACTGGAACAAAACGTGATGCCATCTCAAATGCCACAGGACGCCTAAGAGCAAAAAGAGCTCACTACCTATGGGTTAAGAAAAGTTTGTGTTTTGACTGGCCCAAATCTACAGCAGACTTCCTCGCTCAAAGAGGCCACATGTGACCTACACAATAAGGTCTTTCTGGTAGAGAAGCAGCCACAGCAGTCCTGTGGCTAAGCACTTACAGAGGGACTTGGCCGGACTTCTTTCTTGGATGATAGGAACAGGCTCTAGCTAGACCACACTTATAGTACCCAGAGCCTGTAAAAAGGAGATGTGGGGAAGGACTGAACAGAAAACTCTTGTGTACCGACATTAGAAATGGCTTATAACTGGAGGAAAGGCTGTTCTAGGAAGACACTGTCCGTAGTCCCTACCACGCCTAAGTGTCACTCACATACTGAGCTACATGTGTCTTTGGTTGGCTCTGAGAAACTTTCTTACTTTGAGAGAAGAAAGTAAAATGCTATCTTATCAACTTCAGGAATTTTTAAAGCACAAAATCTTCCTGTGTGGTTCATAAGAAAAACTTGCAAAGAAGATCCCACGCCTGGCAGGGACCATCCCATTCCATTCCATAACCCTCAGACCAAGACAGAAAGGCAATCACGCACGTCCAGCAGTATCTTAGGGGATCAGGACAGCTATCCTGAGCATCAACAAGGAAAAGTTAGTTCTGTCTGAGTTTGGGGGTCACAAAAAGAAAAAAAAAATCTAATGTCCCAGGCACATCCACATACTCACCTATGCAGGTTTTTCTTTCGCTATGGTACAGACATGATAGCATCTAAAATAGTACTACTCAAGCAGTATAATACAAAAAATGGTTACTTACCAAGAAAAGGGGTGTGGAGATCCGGGAATTGCAGAATTTGCAAAGAATCCTGCAAAGATCTGTTGTATTATTCTGTTAAAGGAGAGTGAAAATGAGATAAAACAACACACATAAATATTCTATAGACAATCATGCCTGACTAATCAACACCCAACACTCTAAACCACAACAGTTTTCTACTAGTCATTATACAAAAGACAGCAACAGAAATCAGTCCACTACCTATAGAATGTGTGTCCATTATTGCTCTTTGTGAGTTCTGTCATTTTATACATCAACACTATTTTTTTGTGTGTGTGAATTAGGTTAGAAAAAGACCTGATGTTATGATGTGGTTTTCAAAATATTTCCTTGGATCTCTGACACTAATGTGAGAAAGGGTTCAGAGGATGCTGGCTCAGTAGAATTTCAGACCCATTTCCTTTTTAACATGGGCGTTAAGCTAATCAACATGAAACTTGACAGTAGCCAATATTAGACCACAGGACAAGTATGCCTACAAATCAATCAACACTTCTCTCCCTTCAGACTTAATTGGACTTAGTGACTCACTTCTTACAACTAAGATATGGCAGAAGTGACTGTGTGACTTACAAGACTAGGATATCAAAAGTGATCATGATTACTTTTCCTCTCTCTGTCTATATTGAATCATTTATTCTAAAAGAACCTCTGCAAAGTCAAGGGGATAATGAAAAAGCTCTATGGAGAAACCCACATGATGAGGAAACTAAAGCCTCCTGCTGGTTCTCAAGTGAAGGAGCCACCCTGGAAACAGATCTTCCATGCTCAGTTCAAGTACTGAGATGACTATCACCTGTTGCCAGAACCCACCTAACTAAGCTGTCCCTCAATGCCAGCCCAGCCAGCCCAGCAGAAATAGTGAGGCAGTAAATGTCAGTCAAATAAGGAGCACACCCCCCCCCCCACTTACCAGGAACATGAAGAGTAAGTTACCACACTGCAGAACTGACAAGTAAGTAGACAGTGATTGAGGACTGAGAAAAACAGCCTGGTTCCCTGAAGTTCTGCAGCCAGCCTGTTACAAATGCTAGAGTTGCCAGGGTCAACTCATTTACCCTGCTCATTCTTCATTCTATGTTACTCTCTTGAAGTCATAAGCTGCCTCAGTTTCATCAAAAGTACCAAAGAGAGACTGCTCAGGGTGGTCTCAGTAAGTTTCGTTCAGAAATTATCCACTGCTAGTATACCCAATATTTATGCTGGTTTTTCTGTTATTATCCTTATGGTTACATAATTTCTTATTAAAGGTGAATGTTAAAAGTGGCGAGGTGAATGTATTTGCACTTTTAATAATTGAGTCCCACACAAAGGCTGTGCCCAGGCAAGCATTTTCACACAATGGCTCAGTTCTCTGAGCACTGCTCTCTGAGTCCTGATTTTCCTTTTTCTTTCTGACATTTCTTGTTTTCTTGTGTTTTTCTTTGAGTCAACATCTCACTGTGTAGCACCGGCTGGCCTGATACTTGCTATGGAATACAGGTGGTTTTAAACTAATAGCAATCCCTCTGACTTAGTTTCATAGTGCTAGTATAGGTCACCATGCCAAAGTATTCTACTATTTTCTATCTTGACTTCTTTGGCAATTACATCCAACTTTATAACATTAAATACCACAAACAGTGCTCTCCACATGATGGTGGCCCCACTTTTCTAGTCACTCAGGCCAGCAACCTTGGTGTCACCCTTATTTCTCTTTTTCTGTTCCATGCTATAACCCACAAGTACGTTAGAGTCAAACAAGTCTTTCTTACTCTCACCTAAACAACTGGCATGTAAAGCTTAGGTTAAGGCAGCAGCTCTCTGCCTCTACCCTTGCCCTCGCAGTCCTCCGCCCTGTTCTCCACATAATGGTTAGAATGACGTAAGTTAAACCCAGGCCCCCACTGAAGCAAAAGCACTTATATTCCCTACATGTTTGAATCCCTACCTTCGCAGTTACACTCCAGAATCTTCTGAGCTGTAATCTCCTAATACTCTCTTCACTAACTCTAACCCACATTGCTGTATCTCCTTGTCAGCACACTCTAGCTCCTTCCTTCACTCCCTCTGTCTTTTCAAATATTTTTTTTTTTCCCAATGAGGCCTTCACTGACTCCTCTAGAAACTTTTTGCTTTCCACATTCCCTTCTCACCTCTCCCTACCTTCTACTTAATACTGCTGAATATTATTTATTTTGCTTACTTTTTTCCTTAGTATTTAAGATACACAAAGGAAGTTACTTTCTTACTACTGCATTCACTATCGTGTGAACAACATCTAAAAGAACCAATGGTAGAGAGAACAGCAATGTTTGTTGAGTTAAGAGAACCCCTAGATGGGGTCAAACTGGACATATACTAAAGGTATATTCATACAAAATAATCATGTATATGGTTGACCCTATTTCTACTACATAGATATCACATTGTGTGTGTATATTTAAAAGTCTGTCAGCACTCTGGGAGGCAGAAGCGATGGATATCTGTGAGTTCGAGGCCAGCCTGGTCCACAAAGTAAGTCCAGGATAGCTAAGGCTACACAAAAACAAAACCAAAAAAAGAAAAGCAAAAAACACCAAAACCCTTTCTCAAAAAAAAAAAAAAAAAAAGTTTATAAGATTACATATCAAAGTGTAACTATGGCTGCTTCTTTGTAATGCTGTCTTTTAATCTGAAAAATTAAAAAAAAAAACCTAACATTTTTAAAATAAGGGGGGAAGTTAACAACCAAGTCAATACTCAAAATCTGAGCTGTGATCGGTATCAAAAAACTATGATGTCAAAATTTAGGGATGACTTCTTGAGAACATACTGTATAGGTAGAAAGCCTTCTTATAGATACATGATAAGCTAGGGTCAGTCAGATGGAAGGGGAGGAGGACCTCCCCTAGCAGTGGACTTGGAAAGGGACAGGGAGGAGATGAGGGAGGGTGGGTGGGATTAGGAGGGAATGAGGGAGGGGGCTACGGCTGGGATACAAAGTAAATAACCTGTGATGAATATTTAAAAAAATAAAAATAAAAAAAGAAAGCCTTCTTATATGCAGGTTAATGCTAACAATCAAAGGCCTTTCTGGGTACAGATGTACCTTAGTTGATGGAATGTTTGTCTTGTTTGTACAAAGCCCTGGTCTGGCTTAATCCCCAACACTTCACAAACTGGGCATGGTAGTGCAAGCCTGTGATCCTAGTAATCAAGAGGTAAATGCAGGGGCTGGAGAGACGGTTCAGAGGTTAAGAGCACTGGCTGTTCTTCCAGAGGTCCTGAGTTCAATTCCCAGCAATCACAGGGTGGCTCACAACCACTATAATGAGATCTGCTGCCCTCTTCTGGCATTCAGGTATACATGCAGACAGAACATTGCATACATGAAAAAAAATAATCTTAAAAAAAAAAATAAGAAGAGGTAGATACAGGAGGATCAAAAATTCAAGGCCATGCTGGTGAATCTAGCAAATTCCAGGCTAGCTTAGACTATGAAATTTGTCTTTATAAAGGGGAGAGGAGAGCACTAAAATAAAGATAGTTTTAATGTATTATGTGCAAACTATGTACGTCTATTACTTGTCTAAAAGTTAAACAGAACTAACAGATACAAATATTCTACCATTCTAAAAACGTTAAGGTAAAATATAAATAATCTGAATGAAATTTGAAATTCCTTCTAAAGACCATTTGTGTTCCATCAATAACTCTACATAAACCGATCAATCCTCTGATCATTTTTATTTCTTGATATCTGAGAAATGCAAAGATGATATCAGGTAGCTACCAGGACATAGTACCCCCAGATGTCAATCGATAAGCAGGGGTTCTGGCTCAAGTCAGCTTCATTTGAAGGTGAAGTGAGTTAGTATGTTCAGGCTCTGATTACTCACAGATGAGCTAGAATTTGAAAGCCTAACATTACAGGGCAAAGGATACACTTTAGGCAGCCAACAAACAACTGCAGAATGAATGAATAACTTGAGTTTACTCTCAGGTTAGCAAAAGTGTTCTACATCAAGTGTTCTACAGGCCCAGAAAATGCATATTTCAGAGGAACTCCTAGGAAGACCACACTGATATTCTCACAAAGGCTAACCCTCAACAGCTACTTTCTCAAGTGAAAAGTACTGCCTACTGAAACAGGTGAATGGGATCCCAAGATGCAGCCCATGGAAAACATAGTTGAGTGCCTGACAAGCAGATTAAAGACGTTATACTGCTACTCAAATGAACAGAAGTTGTTATGAGGAAGAAGCCACAGTAAAAAGAAATAATGAAAAAATTTAATGCAATATATTAAACATAAAATTGTAGTGTACTTTCAAAACAGGTAACACCATAATGACAACCACTATAGTCACAGACAGAATGGGTAGAGTAATATGTCCTGACCATGTTCTGTCTTCCATGAAGACAAGAGAAACTGGACTAAAAGTTCTCAAGTTCTACTTCCTAACATGCTGGCATATTTTTAAACACTTTAGAATCTCACCAAATGCACCTACTTTCATTGTTCTCCTTTTATCTTGGCTTCAACACTAATCATTTCAGACAGGGTCTCTTGGTGACCTCACTGTTCACCAATTGGCTAGACTGCTCTAGGTATCCTCCTGTCTCCATCCCCTCCCCTCAAGGTTACAAACACATGTGACCACACTTTCACATGGGTGCTTAAGATCCAAAGTCAGGTCCTCGTGTTTGCCAGGAAGGTACTTTATTTATTAACTCCGCTGCCTCAAGAGTGCCCTTTCTTAGTTATTTTTTGTTTTTTTCTGAGATAGTATTCCATTATAGAGCCTTCACTGCCCTAGAATTTAAAATGTAGAGTAGGCTAGCCTCAAACTAACAGTAAACCTTGTGTATGTTACCCAGGTGCTGGGGTCATTTGCACCACCACAACCAGCTATGACTTTCTGGTTTAAGCTGACTATTGCTGAAAACATTTTTGTCACCTATCATTTTGCTTAGTTGAATTTGTTCATGTATACTTTTTCATTTTATTCTTTTGAATTACCCAGGTAAGTAGCCATCGTATCTACATATATGGACTATATTTTTCTTTCCTATGCTTATGCCTTATGATTTTTCTTACGTGTCATACTGACTATTTTTACTTTAAATTCAATTTGATTATTTTTATGTTTTGCCTGCATTACGTCTGTGCATGCAGTGTCTGTAGAAGCCAGAAGAGGCCATCAGATCCCCCTGGCCCTGGAGATACAGCAGAGCCATCTTGTGGGCACAGGTTGCTGAACCTGGATCCACTAGAAGATAGCCACTGCGCGGCTGAGCCATCATCGCTGCAGCCCTGCACTGACTCTGAGTTTCGAAAGGAGCTTGGTAGCACTGCCTCCATTCTGATTTCAGTGGGAGTGAGGCTCCAGTGTCTTCTGAAACTAGGCTTGCTTTGGGTTCTCAAGATGGTTGATCTTGATGATCAATTTACAGGATCTAGAGTCACCATGAAAACAGCCCTCGGGGTGAGGGATTGTCTACATTAGATCCATTTAGTGAGACAGGAAGACCCATCCTTGACATGGGTGGCACAGTCCCCGGGCTGATGACAGGAACTGAATTAGGAGGAGGCTGAGAACCAAGCAGCAGCGCTCTCTGCAGACACAGTGTTGCAGGTTGTGCGGCTGCCCCATGACTTCCCCATGACAAACTGTCTGGAACTAACTGTGAGCCAAGTAAACCCCTTTCTTCCCTTAACATGCTTTTCTCGAGTATTATGTCCCAGAAATGTATACAATAACTAATGCAGTTCCTAATATAGGCATTATTATTTGTTTTGTTTTGTTTTTTGAGACAGGATTTCTCTCTGGATGTCCTACAATCACTCTGTAGATCAGGCTGGCCTCAAACTCACAGCGATACTTCTGTCTACCTCTGCCTCCGTGAGTGCTGGGATTAAAGATGTGCACCACCTGGCTTGTACTATTATTTTTAAAAAGAGGTTTAGTTTTCAGGGTATACTGGTTCACCCCTATAATCCAGTACCAGGGAGGCTATGGCACGAGGAGTCAAAAGTTTTCAAAGAAGTATGGGCTACATATTTATGTCCAAGCAAAACATAAAAACCATATTGTGATATGCCAGGTATAATGGCAGGAATAATGGTCCCTTTCTTCTTGGAACTTAAGTCTAATAGGATGAAAGATATTAACAACCTTGTGTTTTAGCTCAAACAGCACAACATGGGTAAATTATAAGTGAGAGAAAATGTATTCAATTCCTATTTTAGAGGCTGGGAAGGAAGTGCATAGAGCATGTCCCTCTTCATCCTCCCACTGTGCCGCCCTCAGCATCAGCCACATCTTCAACCATAACTGGAAAGCAGCTGCAACAGCCGCAAGCATAACGTCTTTACAAGGAAAACGCTAGAATTCTCCTCGGATACTTAGGAGAATGTGTGTGTATGCTGGGGATGCACCCCCAGATTCCAATTACAGCAGACTTTGAGTCCCAAGTGAAAAATGAGTTCCATTCCAATTTCCTATGTAAAGAACCCTCAGAAAGTAATCTGGTATTTTCTGGTCATTTTCTAAGAAATGGTCTCCACTTGGTAAGAAAAGGTAGAAGACAAAGAAACAGAAGACGAAAGAAGAAAGAAGAAGGAGGAAGAAGGAGGAGGAGGAAGAAGAAGAAATAGAAGAAGAAGGAAGAAGAAGAATTACTGACTACAATGGCAATAATGTCTGGGCATATAAAAACATGCAGCTTCAATTCACAATAAAAAATTTAAATAAAAGTAAAAATAGGTGGGTCTATTTAAAGAAAGATATTATTGAATATAAAAAATCATCAATAAATAAATGACCAAAATGTACAAAACATTTTGAGAGCCAAAAATTTAACTTATAACACCTACAATAAGAATAAAAGAAAATTCTCAGAAGATTGCTATACACATTAAAAAATATTGACTGTATAGTACAGCTCACCTGACACATGCTTTTGTTGTTCAGTTTTTTATTTTGTTTGTCTGTTTTCAGCTAAAGGCTCATGGGTCTGTGTTTGCTTCAAACTTACTCTATAGCTGAGGCTGGTTTGAACTCTTTATTCTCCTGCCTTCACCTCCAAGTGCTGAGTGACAGCATGTGCCCCCACATGCAGCTCAAACATGGCACTTACTTTACTGTAAATGATTAGCAGACATTCTAGCTGGCTAACCATACATCCACTCTCAGCACCTTTCTCCTTGCCACCTCCCAGTAAGGGATAAAGTTAAATCTATGCTCATCCAGCTTTCTTTACGTCTGTGGGCAGGAAGCATGGGACACAGTACCCAGTAAAGAAAATATTCTTAGCACAGAATATGAGGCAGGAGAAAAAAAAATCCCTTCCTTTACAAAAATGTAGTATATATAAAGCAGGCTTGGTGTCACATACCTACAATCCAACAACTGGGAGCCCAGTGCCGGAGCATCTGGAATTCAAAACCAGCCTGAGCTACCTGGGAGAACTAAACAGCCTATAAAAACTGGTTTTAAGGAGTTTGGGGGTGGGTGGTGCTAGAAAAATTTCATACTCAGCCCACTGTACTCATCTATTTAAATCTTTAACTCCTGATCTTTGCATTCTGAGGTGGTTTGAATGAAAATGGCCCCCAATTGGTGGAACTATTTGAGAAGCATTAGGAGGCGTGATCTTGTGTCACTGGGGGCAAGCTTTGAGGTTTCAAAACCCAAAGTATTCCCATTGTACCCTCTCCCTGCCTCTACTTACAGATCAAGAAATAAGCTCTGAGCTGCTCCAGTCAACCTGTCTGCTGCTTGCTGTCATGCTGTCCTGCCATGATGGACTCTAAGCCCAATTATTCTTTCCTAAGTTGCCTTGGTCATGGTGTTTTGATACAGCAATAGAAAAGTAACTAAGAATGATCCCAATGTAATGTAATACTTGCTATACCTTTTGTTGTCTTTCAAATTTATTTTTCTTTTTACTTTTTTTCTTTTCTCTATTTATTTACTTACTTATTTTGGAAACATGGTCTTACTGTATGAACTCAAATTCAGAGCGGCCTCAAATTCACAAAAGAATCTGTCTGCTTCTGACTCCCCATTCTTTTTTGAGACATGGTCTCAAAATTTAGCCCAGGTTGGTCTTGAACTCGTGATCCTCCTCAGCCTGCCAAATGCTTTTCACAAGCATGAACTACCAAACCCAGCTTCTTCTAGAATTTGATAAAAACCCCTCTGTTCATCTGAGACATCAATAAAAATGCTTTAAGAAGTGTTTTAGATGCATCACTCTCTACTTTATCACCGATTTCTAACTAATAATACTTGAATGTGACATTCAATTTAGCTTCATTTTCATCCTGCCTATATTTCTGTCTTGTCCACAAAAGTAAGTCCAAGAAACATGAAGATTAGATTGTGCCAGTATATCTTTCACTCAGACAATCCTTGAGAACGGAAAACAGCAACTCACCCTTCAATAGCTGGCGATCTGTCGGGACGAGTGCTTCCTCGAGACCTGTATCTTCTCGTCATCGGCAACCTTGGAGGCCGACTGGGTCCCCAAAAGTCAGTGTGAGTTTGGTGACCTCTCTCATTGACTCTATTATCTTGGTCCAGTGGAATGCTACTTAGAAATGGTCTATAATCTTGTAAAAACATTGTGTCCCAGAACTGGTAAAAACATGTAAAGAAAAAAGTACACATTAGCGTAGAACGTGGAAGGCTCAATCTCTAGCATTGGTTGACTATAAACAAACAAATAAAAAAAACTTAAAATAAGTAATTTTCTTCATATATAAGAAAACAAACAAATGCTTGGACCCTTTCCTTAACAGTTGCCTGATGTCCATAAGCACCTGCCTCTGACCAGTTTCCATTTCAGAAATATATGAGCTAAAGGTGAGCACAGACATCTATCCCCAGAACAATTCGGATCCATGTTATACTTGTGTGTTCTCTCACAAATGGCATATCTATGTGTGTATATATATTTCTCTACTTGAAAAGAATACAGCATTACCACAAAGTAAACACAGATATCCATAAAATACTTTTCTTGACTTGGCACTGGCATCGGTGAGAGGCTGTGTCACAGGTGTGCCAAAGCAGCACGGCTATGCTGATAAGAGCCTCTGTTGTACACATTTTAATTGCTAATACGGGAGGGAGAAAGGCTGGGTTGGGAGAATCAGTAAGCAAAGGGGAAAAGAAAAGGTAACTTAACCTTTTCTATGTGTGCTTTAAAAACTCTGTGAGTGGGTTTGCGATAGAGGTGCAGTGCCTAGGAGCACAGGACCCCTGGAGCTAAGGGTACAGGCTGCTGTGAACCCCAGAATGAACCACAGAACATGGGTGCTGGGAGGCCGATACCATTTTCTGCAAGAGCACTGAGTGCTCCCTACTGCTGAATACTCTCCAGTCCAAAAGGAGACTCTTCTGCTTAAAAAGAATTTTATTTTCAAGAAGGAAGATACAGATATCAATCCCAAGCAACAACCTACTCCTGAAAGGAAAAAGAAACAGTATGGCTAGAAGCTCAAAAGTTCCACACAGCCCCTCCAGGCTGCTGGGGAGCCAGAGGTTTCTAGCTTCCTATTTGTGATGAAGCAAACGGTCTGTCACATGCTCCTACTACCAAGAGCCGAGCTGCCCATCAAGCCTTCCCTGTCATGATGAACCATGAGCCAGAACAAACCATCCTCCCCTTAAGCTGTCTCAGGTAGGGATTGTAGTCATACAGATCCCAAAGTAACTAATACAAAAACTATAATACATTAGCTAAGAACAAGTATCATAAAAGATGAAGGCTTGCACTGCCTCAAGATACCACCATAGCATTCTTTTCAGTAGCAGTATGTCATGGATATTTTATGTATTAAGATTTACATCATATACTCAACACATATAAAGTAACACATGAATAGAATATAGAAAAAAATATATCATAAGTCTATAAACCATCCCTTCGTTTAACCCTAAAGTTATTGAAAGTCTTTATGCACCCTTCTCATAACCTCCAGAAGTAACTCCTTTCCAAATGTTTTGTTTACAATTCACTGGCTTTTTTTTCTAATTTTTAAATTTTAAAATGTTTATTAGCATACATTAATTGTACATGTAGATAATGTATTTTTACCACATATACTCCCCATTACATTCTTTTGTTTCCCCTTCCACTTCTGCTGTCTTCTTCATCTTCCAAACCAGTCCCCTTCTACTTTCTGTTTCTTTTGTTATTGTTTTCTTTTATATTGTGTTTTTGTTTTTGTTGACTCACTGAGTTTCAGCATGGTTGCTCATAATGGCATAAGTGAGGTTATTTACAGATTTACAGGAGCTTGGACACCTTACCAGTAGTACACCATTCCCTTCTCCACTTCCATGAGTTTCTTCCATACTCTAGTCCTCACACTTGCTCAGTGAGTATTACAGCCCCCGAGCGATCTCCTAGACAAGCTAACTATACTCTATTAGACTACTGTCAACTGTTATCACAGCTAATAAACTGGAAACTTCAAAGCACCTTCAGCATGAACTTGAGAAACTTTGACACTTGTTTGGAAATGCAAATTGGTACAAACCAGTAGTAATAGTGTATTTCTAGCCTACTTTCATCCCCAGATGACAGTGTGCCCTAACTGAAGAACAAAGAATAAAAGAGTACTTTTACTTTTGGAGTAAAGTACTCCAAATCAACAAGAAGGATAAGAATAGCTTCAGGTCATCTGTCTCAGAGCAGACTTACACAAGCATACTCCAAATCAACAAGAAGGATAAGAATAGCTTCAGGTCATCTTTCTCAGAGCAGACTTACACAAGCATAAGGGAAACGAACTCATTAACAGAACTGGGTCTTCAGGATATAACTTACATAAGTAGAAACTAACTGAACAATTACAGTTTTCGTAAAACATTCAAAAGAACCTCATGGTTTGACAAATTTGGTCTTGAAAAATACCTTACTGTGAATAGAAGTAAAAGGACAATGCTTCCAGTGTCGTTACGAACACGACAAAGCTGGGGCAACTAAGCACACTTCCCCATGTGGGTGGGGGACTGGCGACTAGAGGCCAGCCAGCACTTGTGTAACAAGCTGGACATCCCCAGCAAGCACGTCTCCAGCAGGAGGGAGGAGGGAGAAGCCAGAAGGATAACTAAGGCGCGCTAGCACCTAGCCTAGCCAAGAAAACACTGGCTCAATGGAAGAGGCAGAGAGTGATAAAAGATGACACCTAATGTCCTCTTTTGGCCTCCAGACATGCACACAACAGCACACTCATATGCATCCACACAGAAACACACAAAAATAAATCAATAAGTCTCTTAAAATACAAATAAAAATAAACAACAGGATAGGTGGTGTTTTCTACCTGGCAGAACTTGCTCTGGGCCAACTACAATCATATCCTCCATATATTTAAAATGAAACTGTTAAGGTTTGGGCTGAAGAGCTGGCTCAGAGGTTAAGAACACTCGCTGTTCTTTCAAGGGTCCTGAGTTCAATTCCCAGCAACCACATGGTGGCTCACAACCATCTATAGTAAGATCTGGTGAGCAGGCAGGATGTTATATAAATAATAAATAAATCTTTAAAAAAAATAAAATGTTAAGGTCTATTCCTCAGAGCTAAACAGTAAATTATATGACAAAAGAATATCACTTTTAGCTAGAAAACTAAGAGAATGATAAATATATTATAAAAAACATGTGCAAATATATTAATAGCAGCACTATTCCTAAGAGCTCCAGTGTAAACGCCTATCAGCTAACAGATAGACACACAGTACTGGATATTCACGTGGAGATAGAGCTCAGCCAGCAGACTGCCTGCCTACATACTGAATTTGAGGGACTGATACCCCGCACCAAAAGGAAACAGTGAATGTCTCACAGTGAAGGAAGAAGTAACGCATGCTACAACATAGCAACACTTGAAAACCTTATGCTAAGTAGAAAAGTCACATTCTATATGATTCCATTTATAGAAAGTAGACTGGTGGTTGACTGGTGTGAGGGAACTGTGGAGAAATAAGTATAAATGGTTAAAAGACTAATGGACTAATAGAAAAGTTCTGGGGACTAGAGAAGGAGGTCCATCAGTAAAACATTTTGCAAACATGAGGACCTAAGTTCAATCTCCAGGAACCCACATTAAAAAAAAAAAAAAATCCAACTGTGGAATTATGCTAGCATTGGGGAAGTAGAAACAGGCAGATCCCTGGGTCTTGGTGGCCAGGCAACCTAGTGTATGTGGTAAAACAGGCCAGAAGGAGACCCTCTCTCTCTCTCTCTCTCTCTCTCTCTCTCTCTCACACACACACACACACACACACATTGATGGATGGAAAGAAGGAGGAAGGAAGGGAGGGAGAAGGAAGAAGGGAGGGAGGGAGGAAGAGAGAGAGAATGTACATTTGAGTGTGATGTATGTGAATGCTCTGAAATTACTGGTAATGATTATACAATGGTATGAACATATTAAAACTGGTGAATTATATTGTATGTGAATTCCTCTCAGTTTGAAAACAGCACTAAAGAAACACATAGGTCCAGATACAATACTAGTAACATCAGAACCTACTCTTACCAACAGATCATCTAAACAGATTCAACAAAGAAACTTCAGGATTAAATTGTACCATAAATCAAATGCACTCAACAAATGTCTGTAGAATATTCCACCTGAAAAACACGTTCTTCTCAGTAGCCATGAAGTTTCTACAAAGTAGACCACATTTTAGACTATAAAAAAAATCCTTAATGAATATAAAAGAAACTACAGGTTTTTTATATTTTATCAAATCACAATGGAATAAAAGTAGAATTTAAAGGAAGAAATTACACACTATATATAAAAGACAGAGATTAACAAGCAATCTTCACTGATCACTAGCTCACTAAGAAAAAAAAACATGGAAAGTAAAAAGTTCCTACATGCAAATGAAAACAAAATTTACCAAAATCTTTAGTGAACTATTTAGGCATTTCTAGGAAGAAAGCAGATAGGTGTGAGTGCTTACATTAAAAACAACTCAAATAAATGACTTGATGCTATACCTCAAGGTCTTAGAAAAAATAAGACAAATACAAAATAAGTAGATAGGAAATCATAATAAGATCAAGGCAGAAAGTAACAAAAGAAAAACTAAAGACAGTAAAGAATCAATGAAACAGAGTGCTTTGAGAGATAAGCAAGACTGACACACCCTTATCCAAACTCATCACAACAGTACACAAAGAAATAATATTAGAAACAAAATGGGGATATTACAGCAAACTCCAATGAAACCCTGGGTTTCATGGAGAAATACTCAAAACCTTACGTTCCAATAAATTGCAAAAAAATCTAAAAAAGATTTCTAGATTCATGTGGATGAAAATTAAACCAAAAGGCTATGTAAACCCAGGTGTATCCAGGTTCATGCCTGTAATCTCAGTTTGGGAAGCTGAAGCCTTTAGGGAATTCCATGAGTTTGAGGCCAATCTAGACTACAAAGTAAAGTCCAGTCCAGTCTGGGTTAGGGAGTCCTTGTGCAAAAATGAAAAAGATGAGAAAGGGAAAATACTTAATCTTTCCTATAGCACAGTGCTACTGAGACAGTAATAAAGTATCTCCAATGAAAAGGCCAGGACCAGACAAATTCACTCAATCATTCCATACCTTTTGAGGA